GGTGTATTTTGTTCGAGGGCTCCAGAGAAAGGAGTCGAGCCTCGATTAAGGGAAGGCTGTTCGAGGGCTACATAGACCTCAGGGGAGGCTCTATGGTGTATTTTGTTCGAGGGGTGGATTGTTGGGAGGGAGTGCCACATTGACCAATTTAAGGAATGATCATGGATTTATAAGTAAGGAATACATCTCCATTGGTACGAGGCCTTTTGAGAAAGCCCAAAGCAAAACCACGAGAGCTTATGCTCAAAGTGGACAATATCATACCACTATGGAGAGTCGCGATTCCTATCACTAACCTGCTGAGTCATTCTAGAGATTCAAAATGAAAATATGTGGGAAAGTTTTTCTCCCATAAATCATAGTTGAACAGTTTGTTGATTCACCAGTAATCCCTACACGAGCAGTTTCCATCTTTAAAACGGTGGAACCGATTCCGGTCTCTTACAGTAATTTCTCGTTCATAGATCATTGAAATCAGTTTAGTGTATGTATGACAGTCAGTACACATTCTCAGGTTTCTAGTTATCCTTATTGCAGATCCCTGTGAAGTATGAATGAGCGCAAAAGCTATAGCCAACTTCTGGCTATGACCTTTCAATCTCTCTCTCTTTTCTTCTTCATCTACATCAAGCATAACCTGTGATGTATCTGCCATATAGCCTTCAAATCTCAATTGCCATTCCATCTGATGAATCATCTCGTAGATTTTACCCGATTTGCAGTTCGATTTATCCTGTGAAACAAATTGGTATACCTTCCTTTTCACCTCCACCAAGCTATACCCTGGTGTCTGGACGAAGCCATCTTCGAACATTTTTGTCCTGATCTTAGCTACATTCTCCCATTGTTGAGCTCTTGCATACATATTAGACAAAACTAGGTAATCGCTAGGATTATGCGAAGACGATCGAAATAGATTCTCTGCAGCTACCTCACCAAGCTTTAAGTTGTCATGAATCTTACAAGCACTTAGAATACTCCGCCAAATTATATCGTTCGCTTTTATAGGCATACTTTTCACAAGCTCAAACGCTTCTTCAAGCAAACCAGCTCGTCCCATCAGGTCTACCACGCAGCCATAATGCTGCATTGTTGGTTTAATCCCATACTCGTTCTTCATCCTATTGAAGATATCGAGACCTTCTTCGACAAGGCCGGAATGACTACAAGCGCTAAGCACACCAACATAGATAACATCATCAGGCTCTAAGCCTTCTTCAACCATTTCTGAGAAGATTCTTAGAGCTTGTCTACCATGTCCATGTAAGCCAAGCCCTGAGATTATGACACTATAGGATAGTTGATTCCTTTTGGTCATGTTCTGGAAGAGACATAATCCTTTCTGAAGCGACCCACATTTCACATACATATCCACTAAGGAAGTCCTAACCGCAACATTTAGTTCAGTTATGTTTCTCAATAGAGCACCATGGGCACATCTTCCTAAATGAAGAGCACCCAAATGGGTGCAAGCAGAGACCACACTGACTAATATACTTTCCTCAGCCCTCCAACATCCTTCTCTACTCATATCCTCAAACAACATCAAACATTCCCGCCACAATCCAACACGAGCATGAGCTGAAATTACAGCACTCCAAGAAGCCACACTCTTTTCCTCCATACGTCGAAAAACAGCACAAGACAGTTCGATATCCCCACATTTCCCATACATATTGATTAAGCTATTCTGTACAAATAGATCATCTTCCAAACCTAGCTTGAATACATGACCATGAATCTGCATCCCTTCCTCGATCGCTGCTAACCGAGCACAAGCCTTGAGAACTACCGGGTACGTGAAGTTGTCGGGTTCTACTTCTCTTTGAAACATATCGGCATACAGATTTAGAGCACTCTCAAAGTTCATGTTGTTAACATAGCCTTTGATCATTGTGTTGAAATGAAATGTGGTAGGTTCATCTAGCTGTTGGAAAATGGAGCAGGCATAGTCCATGCTGCTCCAATCTGAGAGCGCACAAGTGCTCAAAAGACTGCTTGAGCAGAAAGAATCCCAGAAAAGACCTAACTTCAGAATTTGAACATGAACTTGTTTGAATTCTTCTAAGCTCTTGCATTTCTTTAGAAGGCACAAACATTCCTGCTCCTTCTGCTTCAAACTCAAATCTAAACTTTGTTGTATGTCTTTAGAGGGCAATAAATGATGGCTGTGGTTAAGGACTGATGTCCCCATCATCCTCTTGTCCTCGCCATCTTAGAAATCTACACAAAGGCGCAAAGGCGCTGCAAAATAAATGCTATGCTTACCATTCTCTGAAAAGACTCCGGAATCATAATAGGTGCCTACGGACAAGGCTAACGGTCTCTCGTGCGCGTCGAGAGACGTCGAAACCGATGGAAACAAGCTTTGTTTAACTCGGAATTTGATAGTTTCTGAAGTGTTGATGGGATTTGAGTAAAGGGTAGAGCTTGTTCGTTTGAGTAGTGAGAGGAGAGAATTGGGGGCTGTGAATCTCATCCATGAGATATGAAGAGAGAATTTGAGCCAGAAGAAGATGGAAGTGGGAGATTATGGGAGATTGGGGATTGTGGATAGGATAATGTGTTGGAAGGGGTTGGCCTTTTTGGGATATTTCTCCTCTATTTCAGCCTCTTATATTTTGCCAAGTCAGCAAGTGGGTCAGCTTTATATATTATTGGATTCATGTGGCGTGGGGCCTTTGCTTTATGGGTGGTTCAAGGACCTCTATTATTATTTATTTATGCTTCTCCATTTAAATATGGAAGCAAAAAAAGAAAAAAAGTAAAATGCATATTTTACCCGGCTGTGCAAATTTTAAAATTAGATATCTAGTAGATTTTATTTATTTACTATTATTATTTTTGCAGAAAAAGTAGAAAAAGCCATCCGGTACCAAAACCTAAGAGAGTAGGTTGTGACCCTCACGTTGCGACAAGAGAAGCGGTGACCTTTAAGTGGCGCCCATCCAGCCACACGAGGGCTTAGACGAGTGCCATGATACGACCACTGAGGTTGGTGCATCATCTAACACACCACACAGAGTGGACATTGAAGAATGCATAAGCAAGACAGAGACATCGAATAGACAAGAGTGGCAAAGATAGGCTTGTTGAAGGGTCGAGTAGGGTCCTAAGTCTTAACCTCGAAAGTCGGAATTTCATAAGGAATTTGGGCATGCAGTTTTGGAGTTAAAGCCCGTTCATATGAAATATGAATGCTCGCCAAATTTGGTGTCAATCGGACCCCGAACGAACGCTCCATGACACTGTATGACCGTTCGCCAAAATCACGTCTATGTGTGAAGTATTGAAAATGGCTCAAAATGTAAAGGGGGAAACATGGTGTCAGCTCTTCAGCTCTTCACCACCTACATGGTGTCGGCTCTCCACCACCTCTAGGTCCTATGGCCTAAGCGAGCTACCATGTGGCACATGCGTGTGTCACAATGAGGGCGAGCGTGCTGAGACGAGCGTCTCGGGCGACTTCTTTTGAAATGAGTTTTTCAAGTATCGTACTAGGTGGCACGGGTGTGCCGGTATTGCGTCCCAGCTCGTGTGTCGGAGGTTGATATATGCACCCACTATCTGGATGAATGGATGGAGCGACAAGTAGGCCCGCTCTCGATGACATGTTCGAATGAGTTGTGATGACGGACGACACCCCGAGACTTGGGATGACGTTAAGACATATGGACCATGTTGATTGGGGACCAAAATAACAAAATGAGATGCGATGTTGCATTGAGAGACCTTGGCCCAAGTAGAGACAAGGTCAAACCAAATGACTTAGCCTAGTGTAGAAGCAAGTCGGTTGTGTGCATACGAAAACTTTAAGAATGATTTAACCCAACTCAAATTTATGGTTGATTTTTAAAAATGTATTTTTTCTTAGGATATAATTCATATATTTTTATTTAATTTCATAATTATTTTTTATTATTTATTTTCCATATATATTTTTAACTATTGAAAAGATAATTTTTCAAAATATACATTGATATTGAGTTGAACATTCTACTTTTATTAAAAAAGAAAAATTTAAATAAATAACTCGAACAACCAAACTAACCAACCAAAAAAATTATGGTTGAATTGGGTTGAATTCATTGTTTATCGACGAACAATTTGATTGGGTTTATGTCTCAATTTGACCCAACCCAGCTGCCACTATCGATGGGCCTAACAAAAGGAACCATTTTTATATTAAAAAAAAAAAAGACATTACAAGTGGTAGTTATCAAATGAGAAAACGCGATAAAAAATGTCTCGATAATTTTTAGTGTGCACATATATTCGTACTTACGCGTAAGTAATAAGTATAACGTGTACATGCTAGTTGATTTTACCGAGCCAAATGAGTTCACTTGTCATTTGTCCATCAATTTTATTAAGGGTGTATATGAGTTGAGTTGGATTGCGTTGTACAAATCTTTTAGACCAACTCGAAATTTTGGGTTAATTGGGTTGGTGACCCAAGTAATCCAAATAAAATTCACGACCCAATTCAACTTTAACCTTCGATTTTCAAGTTTGATTGTCCAAATAGAGTTGGGTTGTAAATATAAAATAAATGTCAAACAAAAGAAAAATATATACTAATAATATAATATTTTTATTTTTTTAATAATGTATATAATAATAAACTAAAAAGAAAAATAGCATTCAATCGTAGACATCCACGTTTTGTCTTTTGTTGAATGGATGCAATTATTGATATTTTAAAAAAATTACTTCAAACAATTATAAAAATTAATTTTACAATTTATTAAAAATACAAAAACTAAATTTTAAATTTTTAAAAATTAAAATGAATTGAGATTCAAAGGAGATACCAAAATTAAGTTTTAACAAAAAAAAAAAAAAAAAAAAAAAAAATTAAAAAGAAAATTATTATTATTTCTCTAAAATATTAATATGAATAAAATTATATTTTTTTCAAATTTTTTCAAAAGAAAATAAAATAAGTGAACCGTCCATCAGCCTTTACACAACGCGGGAGGTCATCTATTTAAGGAGCTTCACTTTCCTTAGCATTTTTGAAGTGAAGGCACCAAAATCTGAGAATGCGGAGCGAAGACGAAGGGTTCGAAGATTGGGACGCTGATTTCTTGGACCAGCTCATCCAGGTCGAAGAGCTTGCCATCTCCTCCACCGCCAACAATCCGAATCCGATTCAGTGTTCTTCTTCTACCTATTGCCCGCCGCCGCCTCCGCCGGAACCGGAACCGCAGCATTTGGTGGAAGTGTCTCATGACCGTCCCATTAGTTATTCGCCTCCACGAGAACTCTCTCAGAGAGCCGCTGGCTTACGTTCTCACTCCATTCGCTCTCCCATTGGCTTGGGCGAATGTGGTCCTTCTTCCTCGGCGCTGGCTCCGTGCTTGCCTTGCCCCGATGCTGCAAAAGAACTTGAAATTTCTAGTTTGAAGGTTAGTGGAAGTGTTCGAGGCTATCTGCATCGTATTTCTTATGTTAATTTTTTGTGGTGTAGTTTTTGAAGGGAGTGCTTGGAAGTTAAGAGCTAGGTATTGAATCGTCTGAGTTGCATTTTCTTTGTTTGGTTTTTCTCTAAATGTCTGAAAAGTTCGGCGTCTTTTTCTACCCGAAGGAGATGTAGAGAATGCTGTAAGAGTATATGAGATATACTTGAATTAGTTTAACAGATCTCTCTGCGTTCATAGTTCTCTGATTTAGTGCTTATGCAAAGATTTCTCTCGTATTAACTTTGTTTGATTGATGCGAATGTTACACATTTTAATATCACAGGGCCTTGTTTCTTCAAAGAACATTTGAATTTTATTTTGCTTTTATCTTTCATTCTAGTGGTGGTCCGAATTTCCATTTCTAATGTTGGTAATAATAGGTCTTAATTACTTATGAAGTTTTATCGAGGTAATTGTATAATCGTGTGCAGAATGAGAAGAGGGTTTTTTTTTTTTTTTTTTTTTTTTA